GCAATAGGCCTGGATGCAAAAGGGTTACACGTCTGCTTATAATTGGCTATTCTGGCAGTCTCTGTAGTTCTGCCTGTTGGGCCACTGCTGGTTTTCTTGGTGCTCCTGTTAGTAGAGGCTGCACGATGCTGCGGGTAACGACGTTCTGACAGTTGCGGTTATGACAACATCAGCTAGTGGTCGCGTCACGGGTCTTACGGTGATGCTGTATATCATCAGCCTGGTATTGGTCACTGTCACTGCTATGCTTTCGACCATTTCGCGATGACGAAGAAGACGATACTAGTGACGACAAGTACGGTCAGTATTCTTGCTGTTCCAGCTATGCTGCTGTGGTTCTGCACGGAGCAGCAACCTTAAGCTGCCCAATTCGGTGCGAAGAGCTCGCCAGCCCTTTACACCCCGGGCCACTAGCTGCTTCGAGTTTGCCGCAGCATGTGTTAGAACAGGTGCTCGATGCACAAAGGAAGCTGTACACCTCCCTCTGTGTGTGTACGAAAATACTTATGCATATAATTACATACATGTTCTACATACAGAAATGCATAGTTAGTTATATACATATGTATATATATATATATAATGTACGAAGAACCGCATCTGCAAGTATAGACACTGGTCTTCATGCAGGTGTGCATTTATGCGCGTATGCATGTATGCACAGAGGTACGCGGGCATGCACGCATGCATGCATGCATGGGTGAGAAGGCGGATGGCTGGGTTGATGGGGGATGGGATGGTATATGTAGATAGAAGCATGTGCTGCATGATGTGTGCATCTGCTCATGTATGCATGCAGCAATACACCTGACGGCAAGACTAAAGTTACTAAAGTTGCTTAGTTCAAGGCCGTCGATTACAGCTCCTGCCCACCCGAGTTTAGGGAGCATGGTGTGGAGACGTGGTTCGAGGTTTGAGGTTCGTGATTCGTGGCTCCGCTTCTTTGCCCTGACACTCCTGGCATTTGACGAGGGACTTTGGGTTGCCCTGGCGCAGGCTCAGCATTTCCTCAGTCGCAGAAGACGAACCGGGGTCCAGCACAAAGTCGCCGGATGAGGGCTTTGGGATCGGATTGCAGGGATGTGTGGATTCAGGTCTGGAAATAAGGACCAAGAAGCTTGTGCCCTTCAACAGGGGAGCGGCGGAGCCTTCGTTGTCCAATTAGACATTGCACGTTGCAATGAAGCCTCCGTGTCCCAACTTGACAATCTGTCCCACAAATTTAAGCAAACGACAGTCTAACCGGATCTACAATCTAAACCCACTAGATGATAATTAGACCAAAAACGGGATCGTGCCGCATATTATGGTACAACAAGAATGCCAAGCTTCAAGACTTTGACCCTGCCCCTTGCTTTGCGAAACCAGAATATGTCGCTCAGCTAACAGGCACGCCAAGAGTTCGAGAAACCCTGGCTGTTCTGGCCGTAAACCCCCGCCTAAGGCCCTAGGCCCCAGCAGAAATTCCAGCAAGGTCGCGAACTCGTCCATCAGCGGCTCAGGCCACTCCAGGTCCGACGAGTCATTGAGGGAGACAGGAACACAACCTCGGCACACGAGGGTAGCAACAAAGGGCAGCCTCCTTCTGCATGATTCTAGGGCTAGGGCGTGCTTACCCCATCGGAAGAAAGAATCTGAGACAGATACGTCAGCTTACTCTGAAATTTATGTGCCTCAGCAAGTTCCTCTCCATGCGTGCCCCGATTACTTCAAGCGGTTGGGACCGTTCCAACGAGGCGGTTCCCAAAGCAGAAACGGCTAGCAATCCAGCAACACACCTCCCTTTTGCAGCTGGTTTGAGTCGCTAAACCTGACCCAACCCGAAACTCTGAACCCTGAACTTAATCTTAGATCAGCCCTAAACCTGAATTGTAGTACCCCAGAAGATCACGGCTCACCGTACGGGACCGAGGGGCAGGACAGCACGGAGCTTGAACACGACATGCTCCTCAGCTGTTCGATTCACGCGAAAAAGGGGTTATGCAGGATCGGAGTCGCGATTCTGGGGTTCTCATGGGTGCTTTGCGTCTTTCTGGAATATCTTACTACTGCAATGTCTTCCGCGTCCTTGGAAGTCTTCAAGTATCTCGTAGCATTGGGATGTTCCATGTACGCAAGGCTGCAACTAATGCGATGCATCTTATGGGGGTTGTCGAGATATTGGCTCACCTCATGTTCCTGGTTTGGCATGTCCGAAGGACTGGCCGGATTGTGTATTCGCTTGCAAGAACGACCTGCAACACTGTCGTGGTCACTCTTGCAACACCACACCATCATCTCCATCATCTCCCATTCATGTTGACTCCTCGTTGCTCGTCTCCCAGGTCTCTTGTTGAGGGAAGCTGGTCTCGATTCCATGACACATCTCCCATGCACCGTCATTGGGCCTGCGGGTCTTCGGTGCTTTGTGTTCTGCAACAGATACTCCAATCACCGAGTCTCTTTATGCTGTGGGGCAAGGGCCAAAGCTCGCAACACACTTCTTCGGACAAGACAAACACTGTCCCCGATCATGGTTTCTCAGCAAGTCCCCTGTCGAGATTTCAATCGTTGTCCCTACAAAAGAGCCCTTGCGTGTCACCAGTTTGTACCAAAGCACTTGTCCCGGGTGCCAGTGTTGACTGGCCCTTCCTCAGCACTGACAGCGGGGCTCACTGCCTAGACCTTCGATGCCACCTCTCTCATCTCTCTATTCAACCTTGCATCGAAGCCGGACATCCTTTTCATTTCACTCCAAGCCCAAGAAGCAGCGCGCTCCGAAGGTACCACGGATTCCAGCTCTAGGTCATCATCCTCCGGCACTGGGATGCTGTAAACCGGGACCATCGTGATCATGACCTGACAGGATGGCACAGGTTCTTTGTGGCATGTCTGAGGTGTTCGGCTATGCCCTCGTTCCAAGATTCAACGACAAATATACAGTTGGCTCTCTGACGAAAAAAGGCGAAAGCCAAAAATTGATCCGTGGCCGATTGTCCAGTCTGATGAACCGCTTCTTGTGGCTTCGATACCGTGACCCTTCCACCGAAGACGTCTCCTTCTCGCCTTCTTGACCTCCGCCAGCTCCTCCCTGAGGATCTCGTTCCTGAGCTCTCGAGCTCTCACGAGATTTCTGCTTGTTTTGGTGAGCTGGAAGGTTGTTGCGTTTCTGAACCCTAGCTACAAGGCTGCTGAAGCTTCCACATACATCACGAGGTCCTAACATATGCCGCTCATGACCAGCGATGGCCCAGCAACTGCACATTGATGACCGTCGATTAATTACTAAGACGACGACTGCTGACGCCGTAACTGGCCAGGATCACCATAATCACAAAAAAGCTGCAACGATGAACGGGCAATTTGAATGACAACCATCAGCGCGCTGCTGAGGGAACTGTGGTGACGACTTCGACTTATGATGAAGATAGTAAACGCATCGCCGAACCCCGTCGGGCAGGCTTCTCCCGCGCATAGGCACCGGTCGCTTCAGCGACTGCCTGAACGAAGGAGGGGCACGCAACTGGAAAACCATGCTGGTCAAAGCGCAGCAGAAGCAGCAGCAGGAGGAGTGGTTGTCGTGGTAACAACACAGTTTTTGTTGTTATTGCTGCTGTTGCTGTGGACATTGTTGCTACTGCTGCTGCTGCTGCTGCTGCTGCTGCTGCTGCTGCTGCTGCTGCTTCTCCTCCTCCTCCTCCTACTGCTACTACTGCCATGTTACTACTATCCTACTACTGCTGCTTTCGCCGGTGCTTCTACGACGCGACTGCTACCACTCCTGCTCCCCGCCATTCTCCTTCTACTGCTGCTGCTGCTGCTGGTACTTATCGTTGTCGCTGCCTGACCTATCGCAAACTTACTTGCCTGCACGATATTGCCAAAAGTCGCTGCCGTTCATGCAGCAGTTCTCGCGGTGGTGGTCACTAACCCAACTTTGCAGCGGCTCGTCATTTTGGCTTCAAGCAGCGGTGGCAGCTGTACTTCTAAGAACCGACTTGCATCGCGGCAGTGTTTATCACCATGAGTCGTCGCGATCATCATAAGTGGAGATCAGCATTAATATCGTCATCGCCAGTGTCATCGTGATCATGATCATTACCATAATCAGAGGCACCACGATTCAAGTCAGTAGCTTGTCCTCCGATACGTACCCACAGCACAAAGCCACAAGCATTAAGCATTGCATATCATCGTAAACTGAAGACCCAAACCTTGTTGCCCTTGCCTGCTGAAGCTAATACTCTGAATGCCACAGCCTACAAACTAGAAAGCCTCTAGCCCATGCCCAGCGAGACTCATGTTGCTGCCTCTCGCCGGATCCCTGCCACCAAGTAGTGCAGATGCTCGGAGGTTTTCAGTGCCTGTCCCAGTCCCGAACAATTTCAGGACGCATACTTGATTGGAAACTTGCAACTATCACACACGTGAGGCAGCGCAAGCTGCAAGCATCAAAGGAAGCCGCAAGGAGTCAGATTCCGTCGGAACGCCAACGTGGCCTCCCCTTGTCTTAATCTCCATACGACAAACCAACATGCAGGACGAAGGTCATCCCAACAGCACAATCTGCTGGAGGACCACTTTACAGAAAGCTGTAATGAGAAACACACAAACACCTACACGTGGACTGCTATATGGCTGTCGGGGAATAGTGAATGGTAGCATCCTGACCGCCTATAGACAGAAGGTGGCACTGGTGGAACTCCTAAAACAACTTCCAGATAACTGTCACCAACAGTGCCACGTCCACCAGGACCACTGAACCACTCCCACTATCACATCCACAGCTGCGGGAACATCTGCACCTGCGACAATGAGAAAAACACACAAAAGCCAGGGCAACGGCAACAACGACCGCACATTGTCAGCGGCGGTTCTCAAACACGTGGGCTGGCTATGAAGCTAACACTGCTCGCAGCCAAAGGGCATGATCCAACTGCTGGTCAGTGCGCGCCGTAGCCACCTCCAGCACGACTCCAAGTCTGGGTGTGTGGAACTTGACTCTGCTGCTTTGAAGAAAACGGTTGCTACTGCAGCTAAACAACGACGACACGAGGTGTGATGACTGCAAGTCTGCATCCTAATTAATACTACTACTACTACTACTACTACTACTACTAATATTACTGCTGCTGCTGCTACCACTACCACTACCACTACTACCACTACTACTACTACTACTCCTCCTCCTCCCCCTCCTCCCCCTGCTGCTGCTGCTGCTACTACTGCTACTGCGACTGCTGCTGCTGCGGCTGCTGCTACTGCTACTGCTACTGCTACTGCAACTGCAACTGCAACTGCTACTACTACTAC